GATTGAATGAATGAATGAATAAATAAATAAATAAAACAAGATAGCGTTCAAAATACACTTACTCAACTAAATGAATGAATGAATGAATAAATGAATGAATGGATAAATGAATGAATGAATGAATGAATGAATTAATTAATTAATGAATAAATAAATAAATAAAACAAGATAGCGTTCAAAATACGCTTACTCAACTAAATGAATGAATGATTGATTGAATGAATGAATAAATAAAAAAATAAATAAAACAAGATAGCGTTCAAAATACGGTTAATCCACTAAAAGAATGAATGAATGAATGAATAAATAAATAAAACAAGATAGCGTTCAAAATACGGTTACTCAACTAAATGAATGAATGACTGAATGAATGAATGATTGAATGAATGAATAAATAAATAAAAAAACAAAACAAGATAGCATTCTACGGACGGTTACTCAACTAAATGAATGAATGAATTAATTAATGAATAAATAAATAAAACAAGATAGCCTTCAAAATACGCTTACTCAACTAAATGAATGAATGATTGAATGAATGAATGAATAAATGAATAAATGGATAAATTAATAAATGAATAAATAAATAAAACAAGATAGCCTTCAAAATACTCTTACTCAACTAAATGAACGAATGACTGAATGAATGAATGAATGAATGAATAAATAAACAAATAAAGCAAGATAGCGTTCAAAATACGGTTACTCAACTAAATGAATGAATGATTGAATGAATGAATGAATAAATGAATAAATGGTTAAATTAATAAATGAATAAATAAATAAAACAAGATAGCGTTCAAAATACGCTTACTCAACTAAATGAATGAATGATTCATTGAATGAATTAATGAATAAATGAATAAATAAAAATAATAATAAAACAAGATAGCGTTCAAAATACGCTTACTCAACTAAATGAATGAATGATTAAATGAATAAATGAATAAAACAAGATAGTGTTCCAAATACGGTTACTCAACTAAATGAATGAATGATTGATTGAATGAATGAATGAATGAATGAATAAATTATTTTTTTTTTAAATAAAACAAGATAGCGTTCAAAATATGGTTACTCCACTAAAAGAATGAATGAATGAATGAATAAATAAATAAAACAAGATAACGTTCAAAATACGCTTACTCAACTAAATGAATGAATGATTGAATGATAGAATGAATAAATAAATAAATAAAACAAGATAGCGTTCAAAATACAGTTACTCAACTAAATGAATGAATGAATGAATAAATAAATAAAACAAGATAGCATTCAAAATACGCTTACTCAACTAAAATAAATAAATAAAAGAAGATAGCATTCAAAATACGTTTACTCAACTAAATGAATGAATGATTGAATGAATGAATGAATGAATAAATAAATAAATAAATAAAACAATATAGCGTTCAAAATATGGTTACTCAACTAAATGAATGGATGATTGAATGAATGAATGAATAAATAAATAAATAAATAAATAAAACAAGATAGCGTTCAAACTATGCTTACGCAACTAAATGCATGAATGAATGAATAAATAAATAAATACATAAATAAAACAAGATAGCGTTCAAACTATGCTTACGCAACTAAATGCATGAATGAATGAATAAATAAATAAATACATAAATAAAACAAGATAGCGTTCAAACTATGCTTACGCAACTAAATGCATGAATGAATGAATAAATAAATAAAAGAAGATAGCGTTCAAAATACGGCTACTCAACTAAATGAATGAATGATTGATTGAATGAATGAATAAATAAATAAAACAAGATAGCGTTCAAACTATGCTTACGCAACTAAATGCATGAATGAATGAATAAATGAATGAATGAATAAATAAATAAAAGAAGATAGCGTTCAAAATACGCTTACTCAACTAAATGAATGAATGAATGAATGAATAAATAAATAAATAAAACAAGATAGCATACGCTTACTCAACTAAATGAATGAATGAATGAATGAATAAATAAATAAATAAAACAAGATAGCATACGCTTACTCAACTAAATGAATGAATGAATGAATGAATAAATAAATAAAAGAAGATAGCGTTCAAAATACGCTTACTCAACTAAATGAATGAATGATTGAATTAATTAATGAATAAATAAATAAATAAAACAAGATAGCATACGCTTACTCAACTAAATGAATGAATGATTGAATGAACGAATGAATGAATGAAATAAAATAAAATAAATGAAACTACATAATATAAAAGTAAATAAAAATAAATGAAACTACCTAACCTAACTTGACACTCCAACGAAAGTCACCAAACCACGTCACCACGGGCAAATTTATATTCATAAGCTACTTAATATTCACGTGCTACGCTGTAGTGATATCAGCGCGCCGAAATGAATATTCATGAGCTAAGCCCTAGCTGTAGTAGGATTCGCGAAGTGTCTCTCCGGATGTGTTCATCACAGTCAGGCGGCAGTGATCCAGCAGCAGCGCGGAGGTGAGCGAGTGAGAGCGACTCTCTCAGCAGCATCATGGCGGAGCAGAGCGACCCCCCGGCGGCCGTCCAAACCCCGCAGCCGGCGCTCACCAGCAGCTGGCCCATTGTCAAGGAGGCGTACGAGCTCCAGGAGGTGATCGGTGGGTAGTTGCAGGTGGATTTGAGCCCGTCATTGGCTTCGATTTGTTGCTTTGGTTTGGGCCTACCGGCTTTTTCCCCATATGCACCGGCCGATGACAGTAATGCGATGCGGATGTGACAAGGGAAGCTTCCTATCATATGTTTTGGAGCTATTAGATGTAATGACAGCGCGCGTGTAATGAGTGATGATGCCTTATAATAGCACGTGTCCAGTGAGACATCAGGCTACTGTGACGTTTACAGTAAAGGTGCTGTTATTATTATTATTATTATTATTATACACAGGGAAGGTTATTGTGACCAAAAAGTGCAACCAAGTTTCAGGGGTTTGAAGTTGATGCATTGCACAGACTGGCGGATATTTAACAAAACACTAATAGCAGCGACAACGAGAGTCATTATTATGATTTGACATATTTTAAGATATTAATATTCTGAGTGTGTAGTGCATGCGTGCATCTTGTCGCCACTTGCACTGTCTGTGAGATTCAAAGGTGTCATTTGCTGCATGCGATGAGTTTGCGCTCGTCTCACGACACCCTCTGCTGCTCAGATCGAGCACTTCTCATTTCTCAAAAGTGCATCTAGTAATTTTTTTTTTGATAATTCAAAAAGTTCTTCACAAAGAAATGAACAGCAGTTTTGAGAAATTGAATTACAATGACACATTTATATAGCCTGCCTACGTCACTTAAGCACAATTGGCGGATTGATCTTATAACACATTGACATTAGATATATCAATTTATGTATTTTATGTTTATGCTTTGTAACGTGCTTTAAACACTGACTAATGTACATATTATTATTATTATTATTAGAATTTATATGCATATTTTATATTACACCGCTCACGCAGTACACATATTAACCCTGTAAAGCCTGGCACATGAAATAATATAATCGAATTGAATGGAACAATTTATTGAAACTTCAGACCATATATATATATATATGATATTCAAAGGCCCAGACTGAACAAAAATATGCAATTTCGTGTAGATGCTGATATTTATATGGATACAATTCTGATGGCTTGTACTGTAAATCAATGAGATCTTTGTAACAGTATAACAGACTACTTGCATAAAATGATATAAATATCAGTCACCACTCAATATCTCCCAATAACATGTTTTAGTAAGATGATATTTAAATTAGTTTTTGGATCAAAGCTTTTATTGTGGAACTCAAAGCATATAATGCAAAGCAATACAATAATGATTGAAAGATGAACAAATAAACGTTCATCAAAAACCTGATGATCATATTAACATTTTAAAATGATTTAAAAAAAAAAAAAACGATATATGGATAATCAAGTAAATCGACGCTGCTTCAGTCCAGTAAGTGTTTATCTTGAAATATTACTAACTAGGGCTTATATAAAAGTTATTGTATTTATAAACATCCTTAAAGATAATAGCAAAGCATCATGCAGTTGCGGATGTGTAGTTTATGCATACCTGCTTATGGGCTTTTATTGGTCAACAACAAGATGTTAGTTTAAAATTTCTATGAATTTCCCTTTTTTTCCACTCTTTGTAAACACCTTTTTGTCTTCACTAGTTGAACGGTTAATATGAGGCCATACAGCATGCATAATAATTATAGCAAAAAGACTTCCCAATATATGACTTTTTTAATTTTATGAGTGAACTTTTCCTAATAATCAATAATAATCTGTTATTTTATGACATTTTCCTTCCCTGTTTTTTTTCTTTTCTTCATTCATTGACATTTTGCTGCATTCTCAAATCTATAAAAGTTCGACTCAAATTGAGACGGCTGATAGTGATGGACCCACTGCCTGCAGACATGAGGCTCCCAGAGTAAATAAAGACAGAAACACAGAAGGCCCTCTTCAGGGCTGTGAGCGCAGGGAGGTTGAGATTAGAGCCCGACCGATATGGTTTTTTTTTGGGCCGATACCGATATTTGGGAGTAAATAAAGGCAGATATCCTTTGTGTATATTATAGTACAGTACCAGTCAAAAGTTTGGACACTTTCCCATTCAAGGGTCCAAACATTTGACTGGTACTATATATAGAATACAGTATATACATAAACAGAATATATATACATAAACACATTTTTTGCAATGATCACTCAAATGTGGTGATCAAACACTTATAATGACGTGACAGAGATACGTAATGGAGGCCGGGCATTTAACAATTTAACAATAAACTTTATTATCCAAAATGAGTCTGACATCAGTGCACTGAACAGTAAAGTGGAAGTTTATTCAACTTTAATTCAATTCAATTCCATTCAACTTTATTCCTTTGAAGTTTATTTCACTTCGGAACATTCATACACGGATTTGCGCAATTGTCTTCACACACAGACGAAACTTACTAGAGAAGTGTGACATAATATACCTCTGTAAATAAATACAATATAAATTCACGTCTTGCGCACTTTAATGCCCTTTGAATGTTACGTGTACGTTCCCTTGGAACTGGAGTCATGGCGGAATTTCATGTGAAGTCCACTTCGCAGGGCACTTGCAGTCGAATAAGACAACGCTTGAATGCTGCTGCCTGAACAAGAGACCTCCTTACTGAAGTGAGATCTCCACCAAATTCGGAGGATCCCTTCAGCTCGAGGAGCCCTCTCGAACACCACCCTCCGGGCGTCGGTAGCCCTCCGGGATCCAGGTTGCCAGTAGCAAACAATGGAGCGCGCTGTGCTGGACAAACTAAGTAATTACACCATTTCAAGCATTTTATCAGCGTTATATGTTCTGTAAAAAAATGTTCATATCGGCGGCATATCGGCAGCATATTCGCCGATAATATTGGCAAAACGATATATCGGTCGGGCTCTAGTTGAGATGCCTGTTAAAGCAGTATGCTATCAGCTCAGATAAGAGCTAGCATTACCGGAGAGCTTCTCTATAGTTTCTGTGCACTTCTTCTGCTAATCAGGACTGCATGGTCAGGACCCCCTCCTTATCTGTCAGCCGCAGTTGGCAGAGTGTCACACACTCTTACGGTGTGAATAGCAGCACTGCATTTGTGTTTGTGCGTGTGTGTTTATAGTCACAAATGTGATATGAATGTAGTGACACTTTAAAAAAAATATGAAAAGCGACACTTAATACATTCATAATATTACAAAAGATTTCTGTAAAAAAAAAACCCCCACAATCTTCTGGATGGTATTGTACTGTATATAAATGGATCATATTATATAATGAAGTATTATACATTTGATTAATATACAGTATAACTATAATTATATAATTAAATGATTTAATAAAAAATATTATTTAATTATTAATTATTTAATAAAAAATTAAATACATGTTTAATATATTATAACTACATAATTATATAATTATAAATTATTATATAATATAATATGATTTGTGGTCAACAAATGTGACTTTTTCAATATTTTGAGAGAATGGTAGCTACTGGCCGATAAACATAATGCTGCAATAGGCCTACAGTTACAAGAAAAAGTATGTGAACCCATGGAGTTTCATTTTGCCTCACTTCTCAGTTCAGTCAATGACAGACAGTGGTTTTGTATGAAGATACTACTACCTCCTAAGGAAACTCATTTCAGACACAATCACATGTCTAATGATCAAATTTAAGTTGAATTTAGGTATAACCAAATTAATATTTAATGCCTACAATGCTTATTTCACAGTACAAAATTGAATCATAAGTTCAAAAATGGATAACTGACTGCATGCACGGGATTGTGGGATATCACAGACACTGAAGGAACTTTCAAAAACCAAAAGAGAGCTCAGCACGCCTCAGATTGAAACTTGTTGACTTGCAAGCTGAAAAAGGGTTACGAAATCATCTCTGCATGTTCATCAACACATGGTAAAACAAACTGTCTATAAATGGAGAAAGTTCAGCGCTGTGGGTGTCCTGCAAAGAGGAAGCCACTGCTGTCCCAAAAAAGCATTGCTGCGTGTCAAAAATGTGCAAAAAGTCGAATGGAATTTATTCCCAAGTTTATACGATTCAGGCCATTTAGCAGGAAACTGAAGTCCATCTGTCTGTCATACACCACTTTGAGTGACCCAGAAGAGTCCTGACCTCAACCCGACTGAGATGCTTTAGCATGACCTAGAGAGATAGATAACCTTTAAATATTGCAGAACTGAAACCGTTTCGTTTAGAAGAGGTTAATGCAGGGCTGGCACAAGCTCAACAGCTGCTCTAGACGAAACACTGTCATGCCGCCCCCACTTCAGTGTCACAAATTAAACATGATCTTTAAGATGCACAAGAGATTTTGTTTATTGATACAATTGCACTAAAATAAAAGCATACATGAACGTTTCATGACGTAAAAAAAAAAATGCACACAACTACTGCTGCAAATTCTGTATTATAGGCTATTATTTAATAAATGTATGTACAGGCCATCGGAAGATCCGGGTGAATATGCGGTGGGCAGCTCAACATAAAGGCTGTTCAGGACGCGGAAAGCACAGGTCAGTTAATTTTCAATGAGAGACACATGGAAAGTGGTGCAAGAGGTGCACGTACAGCTGAAGTATACCCGTCGCTTGTGCATGCACAGCTATTCATATTGATTATAAATATTAATATATGGCATATATAAATATTATTCATGCAATAAGCTGAGTCACATGACTTCTCCTCCCATAGGCTTGGTCTTCCCCTGGCCACGGGTCGGAAATATTGTGAGCTTGGGGCAAAAATGCCACCAAACTGGACAAAAGTGCCCCTGTACTAATTCAACTATTACTGGTGACACGAATAAAGTGAAAATGAAATGGAAAAAAAAAAAAGTGACGTGACATGGGCCAAGTATGGTGACCCATACTAGTGGTCTAGTTTTTTTAACCCATCCAAAGTGCACACACACAGCAGTGAACACACACCCGGAGCAGTGGGCAGCCATTTATGCTGTGGCACCCGGGGAGCAGTTGGGGGTTCGGTGCCTTGCTCAAGGGCACCTCAGTCGTGGTATTGAAGGTGGGAAAGAGTGCTGTACATTCACTCCCCTCACCTACAATCCCTGCCAGTACAAGACTCGAACCTGCAACCTTTTGGGTTACAAGTCCTCTCTAACCATTAGGCCACGACTTCCCTTATTCCCCAAAAGTGTTGCAGCATTAAATTTAGATATGCTCATGTTGCATCTAGGCATGGGCCGGTATGAGATTTTGACGGTATGATAACCATAAGCAGACATATCACGGTTTCACGGTATTGTCGTTACAGCTCTAAAATGTGTTATTTTTAAATGACTGGGTAAAAAAAATTAAAACTTTTTCTGCTGAACACTATATATTTTGTTTTTGAGCAACATACAGAATATTAAGAACAGTAGAATTTGTTTATTTTTCTTTGATTTGTTTCCTAAAAAGAAGAAAAATAAAGACTGACATTTTTATTTAACCTAAATCTGTAATTAGAGTTATTTAATTTTAGTTATATAATTCATATAGATATCATTTATATAATTTCATATCATTTAGTTATATAATTTCATTATAAGGAAATGAAGTAATTTTTATTGGTATTTGCTTAAGCAGACTGCGTTTGTCTATTCCTGATGAGTTGATTGAGGATCAGATCAAATTTACATGGTAAATCCAAGGGTTCAAGTACTTTTCCTTGGAGCTGGATTAAATAGAATCTAATGATTGCAAATAAAATGCAGACAAATTGATGAATTTAAATGTAATTTAATCACGTTTAGGTTTTTTTTGCATAATATTTACTCGCCAAAAAATATACAGGTGCATCTCAATAAATAAGACCAATAAAAAAAACATTTTTAGTGAATTGTTGGCCTTC